TAATATAATATAATATAATATAATATAATATAATATAATATAATATATATTTTGTATTACATATATTCAGCAGATACATGGATAAATAATAATGCTTTAAATAAAATATTAAGCTTGTCCTCAGCTACATCTCAGGTTAACAGCAGCATGGCTCAATATAATGCTGGAAAAATGTAGGAAGAGCAACTGACCAGGAGAGAACAAAGTAGAAATGGATTTAGTGAAATTTAACTATTAGAGCTAGATTCTAGTAGTGTTGTTCACCTTAAAATCTTTACCATTAGATATTTTCTCAAAGTTTTTATGGATAAGCATGAAAAAGTCTAATGCCAATCAACCTTCTAGCCAAATAAAAATGGAAAGAGATAGGCAGTAAATCTATTTTGAGAATCACAACATCTGCAGTTGAGAGCTAATTTTCAAAGGTGAAGAATTCCAAATTGTAGTCCCCAATTTAACAAGTGTCTACACCCTACTTGTTTCTGTTTATCTATGAACAAGCTTGTTAAATAATGATGTGTAACTATAAACAGGATTCCAAAACTCAAGAAGGTCATATTTTTTTTTAAAAAATACTTATCAAAATCACTAAACATATAAGTAAAAGCCTATTTCTAGAAAAGAATGATGTTATTTTACTTCCATTATTTTGATTTAAAACGTATAATCCCTCTAGGCTAAGAAACAAAATAAAAGCATAATTAATATTTATTTTCCATTTAATGATGCAATGTTATGACCAAGTGTATCTGAAAAGCCACAGGGGTTACTGGGGGGCTGTTGGTTGTCTGACTCTTGATTTTGGCTGAGATCATGATCCCACGGTCATGGAATCGAGCCCCGCATCAGACTCTATGCTGACAGCACTGAGCCAGTTTGAGATTCTCTCTCTTCTTCACACTCTGCCCCTCACACTTTCTGTCTCTCTCTCAAAATAAATGAATAAAACTTTTTTTAAATTTAAAAAAAAATAATCATAGAAATTTTTATAAAGGAAAGTCACATAAAGGAAAGCGATAACATATATTTGTAAGTGTGTGCCCCGTCTAAAACTCTCTTACCCCTCACTCTCACGAGACATTTTCCCTGCCATAATGTTAAATTTTTGTTAGACTAATTATTGCCAGAAAAACTGCAGAGAATGTAAACTAAGTATTTTCAAATGCCCTAGGACCTCCTACATTCTTCCAGTGTTACATTTTCCCAAATATATTCTTATCAAACAATAAGCTTAAAGTCAACATATTACAGTGACCAAAAGTTAACCAATAATTAACCAAGTGATTATTTTCTTTCCCAAATGCTAGGCATGATGATAATTACTACAACTACCTAAAGTACTCAGAACAAACATTAGGCAAACAATTTGACAGCTTGATATCAGAACCCACAAGGCAGACACTACCATTTTTTCAAATCTGATGAGGAATCGGAAGTACACAGTTGTTAAGCAACTTACTTGCTCGAAGTTAGCTACACACCTGGTGAGAAATAATCACACTTCAGAGCATGTTGCTTTACCAAATGGTATCTCTATTTTCCTAATCACTCCACTTAGGCATCTTGCTGTTTCCCTTAATACCTTGCCTTCCACAAAGCTCCTATCCACTCCACTGGCAGGTTCTATCAGTCCTTCCCTGAAAACACAACTCCAGTTTGTCTACTTGTCTTCATTTGCTTTATCATCACCCTGGTCCAGTCCTTTTATTCTCTAATTATGAAAACTATAGTACAGGTTCTTGTTTGGAAAACTGTGATTGTCTACATTTTCACAATTTCTTCTTAAGTTTATGTTATCACCCTCAATTAACCTATTTTCGAAAACATAAATGTCATTGTGTTACGCTGCTTTTGAAACTCTTTCCAAGTTTCACTTTGTGCTTCAAATTCAATCTAATAAAATTCTTAACAAGACCACCAAGCCCCAGCATTATTTTGGCTCTTGATTATCTCTCCAATCTCCCCCACTCCATTGCTATCCACTGTCTCTCGACTGATTCAAGAGTCACATCAGCCTTCCTTCAGCCCTTACAGTTTAGGAGGCTAATTCTCCTTCCATATATTTTAAATCCAGTTTAAATGTTACTTCCTCAGAGAGGTGTTCCTGACCATCTAGCTGGATACTTTCCCCCCATTATTCTCTAAATATGTTTGAGTCTTTCAGAGCTTTGACATATACTCCATATATTCCATATCTACAATTCATGTGTCTTTGACCACTGATAATAATATTTAAAACTGTTTCATAAGAAAATCATTAGAAAATGTTCCAAATGTAACTTCTATTTGATTTTGAGATTGAAGGCATTTATAAGTTTGGAATCTAAACAAAATCATTAATTTTCAAACATCAAAAATATTTTTTGAAAGAATACACAAGAAGCCACATGTGTGATTCTCTTCCTTTTAATCAATATGCATGTGTAAGTGCTGGCAAACACTAGCATCTTATAAGTAATGGTTCATTCTATCTGTCTGTTGGTCTGTAGATTCTATGAGATTTAATTCAGTGTTTCATGCTATCCTTTTACTAAATTATATCCCTAATGAAACTTACAAATATATAATATACCGAGTTTTTAACTTAGTCTCCAATTCTGACATATACATATACATATACATATACATATACATATACATATACATATACATAATATACACATGACTTAGAGTTTACCAGTAGGCCAAATACTCACAGAACAATTGTTCTCAAATTTTTATTGTAAATCAGAGTCACTTATGGAGTTTGTTTAAAAAGAAAATCATCTGCCTAGGTCACCCCCAGAGATTTCCATTCAGCATATTTGGGGTGAGGTCAGGCCACTGTATTTTTAACAAGCTAAGCAAGGGCTTTTGATTCACACTGTTTTAGCAGACACTTTTTAAACTTTTCTAAGTGAATTTAGAAGATAAAATTAGATTTAAATTCTGGCTTTTTTAGCAAAATCTGGTTTTATTTTCTTTGTCATCTTCAGGTAAGTAGAGCCTATTAATGATACTTCAAATTATTTTAAGACCTTTTGAAATATTCCCCCCTTATCCTATTTCATACACAATATTGCACTTTGAATTCCTTGAGTGTATCAAGTCCCTTTCTCCTTCTGGGTCTCTGAAATTGAGATTCTTTCTTCCCTATAAAGTCTACCCTCAGTTCTATATGGCTGTCATTATCCACCAATTAGGGTTCTCCCTATGTTATCTTTTCATTTCCTCCATGAGGCCTTTTGTTCTGTTGGTTATAGGTTTGCTTGTTAGTAGGAAGTCTCAAAATTTACATATGACTTTACATGCTGCTAGAATTCAAGGCCCCTTTGAAGGTAGATCTTGTTTTCTATTACTAACGTTGTATCCCAAGTACAGAACACACTGCCTGGTATAAAGCGGGTCTCAAAAAGTAAGTATTATTTAATGTATTCATTCCTGGACAAATCATTCATTAGGCTTTCAATTTTTTTCCTTTGTTTGTGATTTTGCTACACAACTCAGAGATTAAAAATCTGAACATTACTTTAAAGTTAACCCATGCTTATCTCATTTCTTAAGTTAGAAACCCCAAACCAATCAGGTTTAGAAACTTGCCATGCCCCATAAAGTCTATAATTGGTATCAGATTAAAGCCCAGCACAGTCTAGCGATTGGTCCATTATTTGTTCCCTTACCCTAAATTATTGTTCAAAACTAGATACTGTGTCTCTCATAGCAATTATATTTACTAACTTCACACGGCTGTTATCACATATAAAAAATGATGGGCTTAGGTGTTTTTTTTAAGGGGGGGGGGATGTTCTACACTGTATTTCTGTTTTTTAAGATTTTCATTATTGTGTTATGTTTTACCTCCTCCCCATCGCAGGCATCTTGCTAAGTCATTGCCGGTCCCAAGAGGCAGAATAGCAACTGGAGGATGCTTGACAACATTAGCCTTTTCTGTGGAATAGAAAAATTAAGATAAAATAAAATTTTCATCACAGATGGAAAAACAGTAAATAAGACAGCTTGGCATGAGGCTTCCCACTAGGTACTTACAAGCAGGAAAAGTGATGTTTTATAGCTATATACAATTATAAATTAAGATTAATTTGTGTGTATTTACAGCACTTTATGAAACACAAACAAATACCATAATTTACGAAGTGGTGGGAATTTTCAGGACTTATGCCCGAATAAAGCGTTTTAAAATTTTAACTCAGTTAAAAATTATGGTGGGTTTGATTTAACATCATTGAAATTCTCAAGGATTCAGGTATATGCATCATAGGAATATACTAGAGGGCTATCATCAGAGTGGAGGTGAGCATTTCTGTAAAAAGTCCTTCTGCACACCAACTCTAGGTATATTTCACTTTAAGGAATAAAATGTTTCAAAAAATCAAACTCTAGAAGCTAGCAAAATGTTAAAAGTGTTTCACTGTGTTGTTCCTACCCATGGTGCTGCTTTGGGTCAGAGTAAACAACATAAGAACTGGGTAATTCTGAGATCAGCAGGGTTCTTTGAGATTAAGGTTTACAGAACATAGTGCTTTGGGTTCAGAACAGTAAAGATCTCTGCCATCAAAATTCCACATAGTTTTGTGTAAACCATCATATGCCTTTGATGACTCTCACAAACATATATTACTTTTCTTTATTTTTTCTACCTGCTTAGCCCTCAAAGTGAGTATGTGTCTGTGTGAAGAGTGTGGAGACAACAGATTATTTAGGGATGGATATGCCCCAGTGTAGTCAGTGAGGCTTAGATTTGGGAGGCTAAAACAAACTCACAATATCGTACTGTTTTCACTAACATTCTTACAAGATCTCCGGCTCTATTCAAGCAGCTCTAATTTCTGCAGTTTGTGAATTCTGATTTTCTCCTTAGATAATGCACATTATACTATTTACATCTTTTATTGAAAGGCCCAAGAACACAGTTTTCAGTGTTTCTTAAAAAAAAAAAAAAAAATGGACTAGGGGCGCCTGGGTGGCGCAGTCGGTTAAGCATCCGACTTCAGCCAGGTCACGATCTCGCGGTCCGTGAGTTCGAGCCCCGCGTCAGGCTCTGGGCTGATGGCTCGGAGCCTGGAGCCTGCTTCCGATTCTGTGTCTCCCTCTCTCTCTGCCCCTCCCCCGTTCATGCTCTGTCTCTCTCTGTCCCAAAAATAAAATAAAAAACGTTGAAAAAAATTAAAAAAAAAAATGGACTAAAGTCATAAGATGTTTACCAAAAGTGTATTGACAACATGCATTCACCTTTAATTTGAATACTTTTGTGTGTATGAAAAGATAGAATATTTTCACCTGCATTAACTAAATCAAAGTTTGCTTCAATTTACATAGACAGCAAAACTTCTTTTGAACCAACTATTTCCCTTTGGTGAAGGGACCGTTTTTAACAAAGAATTGTTCAATGCAGTAGCTGAAATGAGAACTAAAGAAATGGATATTTGTTTGGCATTTATTTCCTGTTAAAGGCTGGTACATGATCATTTTACTGACTTGTAATGAGTTGTGACATCTGACTGTCTCTGAAAAACTAGATAATTTTTCTGAACCATCAAGCTTTTGGGATTCATGTCTGCTTTTGATCCTCAGTCATGTATCTGCTTTGTTTGCTTGTTTAAAAAAAAATGTTTTAAAAGTTTAAATAGAGAAGCAATATAAAATAAGGTTACACGTGAGCTCGAATCCTAGGTCTATCAATTCACAGCTCTTAAAACGTTGTTCTAATTATTTAACTTCTCCATATATTAAAGCCTCTCTCTATAAAATGGGATTATCAATATTATGTCAAAAAGTTGTGAGAATGAGGATGGATGGGGTAAAAATATTAGCACAAGGTCTATGAGACAGTTCATGATAAATAAAAAATAGCTATGGTAATAATAATGATTGATGCATGTGATATGAATGTAAACAGAGGGTAAGGTTTCAAGGCTCCATGCTTCAATGAAATAAGTACATCTATTTTGCACACATTTTATCACAAATGCTAAGATGCTCTTTGGCTCCCTCTTCGGGGCAAAGAAAGAAATGGAATTTGTAAAGCCTGATTTGAAAATAGCTCTGAGGATTTAGGAAATTCCAAGAGAAATGGATTTAAAAAAGAAGGATTTCTATATAGAAATTGCAAATTATTTTACCAATTAAAATTTCTAAATGTAGAAAATACATTAAGCCAGTAAATAACGTGCAACATGCCAGATGTCCGATTATACCACCGTAGCACTCAGAGATATCAATGCATTAAATAACATAAAAAAAATATAAAGAATTTTCGGTTGCCAGTCTCACCCCAGTGCATTAAATATGTGTCTTCATTACCTATGCAGTCCAAAATCCATCCCACGGTTCCATCTCCACCACAGGCTAACACTCTGAAATCAGGAACATCACGGAAAAAGTTTAACCTGAAAAATAAGCATGTAATGGCACATGATTGATACTTTAAAATTAGGACTTGTTAAGTTTTGTATTCTTACCATTTTGTCTAATGACAGACATTTTTAGTTTATGAAAACTGTCAGATAACATCAATGATCTTATTGAAAAATATTCAATAACTAGAATAAAATTCTAAAATAAAAGAACATCTCGATTTACACATATTTTAATTGTATATTCTAGATTCATCAACTCTTAAGTTTACAAAAACAAAACTAAGACATTATAATTTTTATTAAAATATCCTCTCATATTTGATCTGCAACTCACAAATAATCCAAAGTGACAAACATTATAGTATTTAAATCAATAATTTTCATTAATCAAAAATGCTCTTTTGAATCATTATATAAATATAACTATTATGCCAGCAAATATATTTTTGAGAGTTTTCAGCCTTTCCACCACTGGAAGAAATCGATCACATTGCTTTTGGGGTTCTGTTTCCTTTGACTTAGAATTTGCAAATAGGAGGCTTCCCCTCGGCTATTGACACGGCCCTCTGTGTTTGCTACTGGGAACACTCAAGCCAAATTGCTGGGTGGGCTGCAATACATGACCATAGCTTCTGTTGGTAATGCAAAGAGCATCTGCTTGTTAAAGAAACCCACCTTGGGGAAAGCTAAAAAGGCAGGTATCGCAGGCAGTTATACAATTGTATATGCCTATTTTCTTGCAACAAAAATAAATAAATAAATAACTGAAACAAGACAGAAATATGTGGAATGTGTCTGTTTATCTCCCTTACCCAGGGGTAACCAACTGGTAGTAATATAATATTCAATCCTCCAGGAAATTTTTCTATATATTTACATATGTGAATGTACACATATGAGCATTATTATTCACATATTTTTAACGTGAATGGGATTATGCTATACATCCTGTTAATGTATTTGCGTCCATTTTTTATTTAAAAATGTGCAAGAGATCCTGCCATGTCAGCTCATATAGGGTTGCATCATGATTTATAATAAGTGAATGCATTATATAAGGTCTACACTCTATGATCAAATAAACCATTTCCCTTCTTGTACTTTTAAACTATTTCTAGTGTTTCACTAATACAAAAAATAGGTATTATACTTAATACTATTTGAAGTACGTTTATGTGAAAATGTGCATGTTTTGGAAGGCTAATCTTCTAGAAGAGAAATGTTCCAGTATACCATCATATTACTCTCTGAACAGCTCCCGCTATGAAAGATGTAAATATCGATTTCCTTCAACTTCAAAACACTGTAGGTAAACAACTTGAGGATATTTCTTTAGTAATAGTGAAAAATAGAATTATGCTATTATTGTCAAATCACATATCCCTGCTTGCTAGTGGATTGAGCATATTTCTGTAGGTTTACACTTGTGTGATCTCTTCTGTGGACTGCATCTGCAAACCCTCGTCATCTTTTCCACTGAGTTGTCTTTTATTATTATCTTATGAACTCCACATATTATGAATGCTGTGTCTCATTCAAATTAGCATTACTACAAAAACAGTTTGTTAAAGTAATACAAACAGTGCGTAAATATAATAGAAATGTATAAAAATTTACTAAAACCCCACCATCGGATAATTAGAGCCATTAATATTTAGAACATGAAACTTCCAAGTATTTTCTTAGGTATTATATTGTGGATATAATGTTAGACATGTTGCAATATTTTCTTAGAGACTATTTCCCATTTGTTTGCTCATATTATGTATAGCATAATATTATGCATAATTTAAGCACCTATGTACTAATTGCCCACCCCAAGGGAAGAACATTCCTAATAACTTACATAGACCTCTGTGGTCTTTCTTCCTCATACACAAAGGTGAGCACTATTCTGAATTCTTAGTCATTATGTGCATGCCACAGACAACATATTGTTCACTTTTTGCTTTTTCCACGTAGCATTATTACTAAGATTCATTCATGTGATAGCTGAAGTTATCTCCATGTATAGTTGAAATTATTTAATTTCTATTGGTAAATATCATTTAGGTGAATGTACCTTTTGAAATCCACGTCAGTGGACATTTGGATTGGCTCATTTATGTTCTTACAAAAACTGTACTGGACATATTCCTAGGTTTCGTGGACAGTTGCTACTTTCAGAGTAGGATACACTTATATGCAACTCTAGTTTCCCAAAGAAGTCTTACCAGTGCATGCATCCACTCACAGTATAGATAAAATTTGGCTGAACCCATTCTAACACTTATAATGTCACACTTCTTAATTTCATGCATTTCCTCTTTTGTGAAATGGTTATTCATGACTTTTATTTCTTTACTCCTTTGTCTCTTGTTGATTTGTAAAAAAAAGTCTTTAATTGTTCTTAATTTTAATGCTTTTTTTTGCAACTATCTTCTATAAGTTGTTTTTTTTTTTTTACTTTAATGTGTATTTTAATACACAAGATTTTAATGCATTCAAATTCATCAATCTTTTCATAAGTGGTTAGCCCTTTGGCCTATATTGTGTAACAAAAGTTTGCTTACTTGGAGGTCTGAAGATAATTCATATATAATCTTTTTTCAAATTTCAGTTTTGCTTTTGACGATTCTTTGTGGTGGTACGAGGTAGGGATCCCTTTATTCACTTCCTGTTCTCTCCCTTTCTCCCTCCCTCCATCATCTCTTTCTTTTTGTCTCTTTCTTTCTCCCTTCCTTCCCTCTATCTTTCCTTGTGGCTCTTGTGCACCAATTTTTCTCTCTTCTTTGTTCTTTTTATTTATTGAATAATTCCACTTCCTAGCTCCACCATAAATCAGATTCCTATACATGAGTACATTTCTTTTTGAACTGTTTTATTTTATTCATAAATTTGTCCATCCCTCAACCAGTACCACATTCTTTTAATTCCTTAAGTAATTTTATAATAAGTCTGTATCTCATAGAGTGTAAAGAATCTAGGCTATTATCCCTTCTTTGCTTTTCTATATACATTTTAAAGTTAACTTGTCCTATTCCACACACACAAAATAACAAACAAAACGAATTATGATTTTGAACAAAGTAACATTCAGCCTATAGATCAATTTTGGGAGAATTAACGTTTGTATAATGTAGTGAAGTTTCCTCATCCATGATACAGCATGTTTGATTTATTTTAGATATTGCTTAGTGTCCTTCAATAAAGCTTTTAATTTTCTGCTTCCAGGTCTTGCATATGTGTTATTAGGTTTATTCTTGGTTGTTTTATAGTTTGTGTTGGTATACTAAATATTACTAAAGTAGTTTATTACTGATGTTTTGTTGCTGGTATAAGAAAATATATTTAACTTTTATATTTTGATCTTGCAAAGAGCCACATTACTCGTGTGGTTTCTATTGCCTATATTTTGTAGATTCACTTGGATTTCTATATAAATAATTGTATGATATGCTGATAATAATGGTACTATTAGTGACCTCCAATCTTTCTAATTGTTATTTCTTTTCAAGCTGTCCAGAGCTCTAATATATCGCTGAACTGGGATATTCATAGAGAACACCCACATTTTTTTTCCTAAATTTAAGCGGAATATTTCTGTATTTTCCCCCACTTAATATGATGTTTTTGTACAGATTTTCTTATTTTCTTCTTTTTTGAATGACACCTTTTATAAGGTTCATAAAATTTCCTTCTATTCCTGTTATAGTAGGGGTTTTTTATTATGAGTAAATGTTTAAATTTTTTCTGCATCTTTTGAGATATTGATATGGTTGATCTCATTTAATCAGTAATGTAGGGATACACATTAGGTATTTTTGCATTATTAAAATACCCTTACAGTACTTTATATACCCAAATTGGATATTGTTTATTACTATTTTGTAGAGAACTGGATTTAGTTTGCTAATGTTTTCCTTAGACATTTTGAATCTATATTCATCAAAACAGACTTACTATTTTTCTTCCTCCTACCCTCTCTGTCTAATTTTTGTCAAAATTATTCATAACTCATAAAATTAGTTCTAGAATATGCCTTCATTTTCATTTTTTTGGAAGCATCTGTACAATTTCTGGAAGGTAGCACTTGCATATAAACTATCCAATTTCTGGTGAGTCTTTATCTCTTTCTTTTTTATATAATTTTTTCAATTCCTTTAATAATTATTGAACAAAATTTCTATTTTTAATACTCCCTAAATCAGTTTTTGCCATAATATACCCTATTAATTTGTTTATCTCCTAAATTTTCAAACATTGACTCACTGAAGCGTAGAAAAGTTTTTCAAAATATGCTGGCAGATGAAAAGTTTACTGTAGAGCTAATTGTTTCTGGTGAAAGCCTAACCATCCATTTGACTCACCATTGTTCTTCTACTCCATGATGATGTTTCATCTGTTATTCATTCTTGTTTCTTTTAAAATTGTCATCATTGGTTCTTCAGCAGCATCCTACCCCCAAACATAAACCCCATGTGACTGTCAGACCAGCTTACTCTCTGTAAATAGATTGCTAAATGGATTGAAAAATTGACCTCTCTATCTCAGCCTCTTATTCCACTCAATCCATGCTGTTTTCCCTAGAGATTCATTCATTCCTTATTTCACTCATTCACTGAATAGTGGCCTTGGAAAATTATTTAATCATTCTGAGCCTCAGTTTCCTTTCTTTAAAATGAAGTTAATAACATTTGCTTCATTGGGCTGTCTTAAGAAACAAACAATATGTATATGTAAATTATATTGTACTATCCACAGGTTATTACTGATTCAATAATTTTCCCTTCATTAAAAGTAGTGTATATGTTTTATAGGTCAGAGTGTCATGCCTTTATTTCCACCCCTCCCTCTCCCTCAGTGTTCTGGTAAAATCATCACAGGGAGAACTTACTACCAAGCAAACCTGGATGGACAATGAGAAGTTTTCCTACCTCCAATCTGAAACTGTGGCCGATGAACTACAGGGAGGCCTACTTATGGCATTACGGCCAGAACGTGTAGAGAAAAACAGGTCTGAGTGAGAACAAATAAATCCAAGAGACTTG